TGTCTGACCGTTCGACTGTACTTAAAATAAGGTGTTGGAATACCTTATATCTCTGGACATTTTCTGATATTAAACCAGGATTCTGGCTGTGTATACAATATTAAAAGGAAAGTGTAGATATTGGGAGAAAATATCTATACAACATAACATGAAACTGGTTTTCTTCTATTTTTACAGAGGGCTCACATATATATTATTATATGTCAGATCATGAAATGGAACTAGAATCAAGATGCCCAATCCATTTACCCCCAAACATGCAATTATGCATCAAGTTCAGTTATTTGATTGGTTGAATTTAAAGTACCCTGTTAATCATCTTGTCAATTATGAAACCATTTCCTGTAAAAATGTTTTATCAAATTTATGTTGGTGGAGTTTTGAGTAGTGAGCCCAAAAAAATCCACAATAAAGAACTTAAGAAGTTTTAAGCATTTTAATTCATCGCCCCTTATTCAAGGGCTCTAATTAAAACGAAATAAGAATTTCGTTATTATGATTAACTTTAAATCCTTTTGACCTAATTCTTTTTCAAAGTTAAGATTCCAAAAATAATGAACAAGATTTTTCAACTTTACTTATATTAATCACTTTTGTGGGCCTTGATTGTAGCATGCATGGGGTCTTAATGCGGTAGAAAACTGGAGTACCTAAAGTGATTGGCCAGGTGACCCAATTCCTTTTCACCTCTTATCAGGAATCAAACTTCTTCTTTTTCCCGTACGGAGTGAACTCGCAGTAGAGTAATCAGTCTCCACCGCTGGGTGGGCGAACAGCTAAAATTGATTTTTCAGACATCTTGGTAAGAGATGAGATGCCACTCAACCACCCTAAATGTTATATTAAGACTCATTCATGGTATGTGCTTTCAGATGCTCTCAAGGCAAAAGCCGGCCATTGGGCCTGGCTCAACTACACCTGCAAAAGAAAACAAGAAAAAGAAGAAGTTACCAAAACTAGAAGATTTCCTGAGCTCAAGAGATTATACTGGGGCCATTACTCTATCAGAGGTAACACCTATACACTGTTTTGGATTATATATAAATATAGTGTAAAACACTGCATGTTCCTCTAGCATTAAATGATACATTTTTATTTGTCTCTATTTCATGCTGTTTCAAAATACATTTGATAAAGGTAATAAATTAATATTTTAAATAGTGATCTGTTTTGATACCTTCTTTGTAGATTGAATTCGAAAAATAAAAGAGCAATATTATCTTCATTCTATTTGATGTGTATTTTTAACTGCCTGCTGATGTAATGATACCATATAGGACCAATCAGTAGCAAAACTATATGTAGTGTTAATCAATTAATATAATTTAACACTATTAATTAATTTGATGTCTGATTTCTACTTTTGTCTGTTTTGTATTACAGTTCAACAGAATAAGTGGAAAAGGAAATGAAGAAACAGACCTGTGGATAGCCTATTGTGCATTTCACTTGGGTGATTACAAACGTGCCATGGAGGTAGGTACTCTTCATGAACTGCATTTAAGATATATTTTTCATGTAAACTTCAATTTGTTAGTACATGTGCATGGTTAAACTTTGATAATTGATGCTATGATCATGATGAAAGATTTTCTGTAACAAATACAACAGCTGTTTTTTTTTAGTGTCAGCATATATAATTTATAGAATTTTCATTAAAACTAAGTGTAAAACCAGCTGACTTTTGTAGCTACTAGCTATGCACAGATATTCATTCTTTAATAATAAATTTGACTCCATTCATATATGGCTTAAATAATTACACAATTTCAAGATTATTTATAATTAACACTTTGAGTAAATGCATTTAGACTCAATTTGGACTAGAACATTGTTAGACTAATGTACTTAATGATATACAAACATAGTTTGTGCCCAACACATCAAGAGGTAAATAAACCATTATTCCACTAGGATCAGCCTCAGGATCCAGCTCCGCTCTACAATTCTTACTGGCCCCACCCCTAAAGACAGGGTCATAATCCAGGCCCTATAACCATAAACACATGCATATGAATCTCAATCAACTTTACTTTCAAGGTATACTTGTTTAATCCTGATATGTTTTTAACAATATCGACTTTATATTGTAGGAATATGAGAGAATGACAAAGCATGATGGTTGCCATCCAGATGTATGGATCAATCTGGCCTGTTGTTATTTTTTCCTTGGGATGTATTCAGAATCAGATAAGGCTGCCCAAAGAGGTAAGACTACTTTTGATTCTTATGATACAACTGCTTTCAATTTCATGCTATCTTATTCAAATTATGATCAACTATCAAGCTAACAAGTTATATGCTTTATAAAGATGACATTGTTATGAGCTGTTTAGACCTCAGCTATTCAATGCACCACAAGCTGACATTGGTACTAATGTTTTCATGCCTGTACATCCTTCCTGTACAATGTGCATCAAGTTTGTCACCTCACATTTAGAAACTGCATCTATTATAACATCATAACTTTCCATCCCAATTAAAAGATTTGAGCATTGAATGAAGTAAGTGACATGTTTTAAGATACCACCTGACAGATGTGACCTCCTTATCATCAGGCTACTGTACATGTATAGCGGCAATGATGGCTGGTTTAGGAATTCAATATAAATTGTCAGTAGTTTAAGACACTGTCAAAGTTTTGAATAGTTTGATAATAAGAAAGGCTTTTATGCTATACTTAGTACTTTCTGTCTAGCCTGTATTTATGTCTCTTAATAGAGGATATTTTGGCCAGTGGACTAGTTAAAATATTGCATTGCACCTTGGTAACACAACATAAGTTAGTAATCTTTAATGATTGTGATTTGTATTTAAACCCAGCAATATGTTGCTGGAAAATTAAAATTAAAGTATCAAGTAGATACAAGGTATTTTGAAAGGACAGGAAACTTTTGCGTTACTTCAAAGCTCTAAATAAGGACTGGATACTAGTATGTTACTACAAAGCTCTAAATAAGGACTGGATACTATTGTGTTACTACAAAGCTCTAAATAAGGACTGGAGACTGTTGTGTTACTACAAAGCTCAAAATAAGGACAGGAGACTTTTGTGTTACTACAAAGCTCAAAATAAGGACTGGAGTCTTTTGTTTTACTACAAAGCTCTAAATAAGGACTGCAGACTTTTGTGTTATTTCAAAGCTCAAAATAAGTACATGTGACTTGTGTGCTACTACATAGCTCCAGATAAGGACAAGAGACTTGTTTGTTACTACAAAGTTCCAAATAAGGACAGGTGACTTGTGTGTTACTA